TTCATAAATATATCTATTATATTTAAGACGTCTAGGTATTTTTAGATTCATACGTATATGTTAATGTGGTGCATGGTATATATCATTTGCATGACTGGTGTTTTAACCTTTCTTTTGAGTTCTTTGACACTTTAAAAACCCTAAAATGCCACATTTTCCTCCAAATATCATCATAACACGGATGTTTAAAATCCCTTCCCATCATTCTTCTTTTAACATTTTCAGCTCACACGTTGCAGTTTTCGACTTTCACATTGCAAATTCGGTGTCTGATTCTGTAGTGCAAAATCAATCACTTCTATTTTCACCAAGGCAGTTGAAAAAATAATCAATTTATAATTGTGGCAGTGTTTGAGCCTAACTTGTCAATGCTAATAAAAAAAATACAAAAAAAATACAGCCTCAGTCCAACAATCCAGCAAATGATGTTGCTTTGTTCTTGTCTTTTACCCATGACTGACAACCTATGGGACAAACAATTCATTTAAGTTCATTTAATTCTAAATATTTTGACAGTTTCTCTGGTAACAAGATACCCAAACCAGTTGTCCTCTGAGTTATGTGGGTATAGGCCTATTGATCTATTGTGCTTTAAACTATTGACCTTTTAGAGAGGCTCTATAGGCCTGGTTAAATCTGAGACACACCAACCATTCTGTTTAGATGACAAGGAATTTTAGAGATATTGGTCAAAATACAAGCCATTTCCAAAGTGTAAATTGCTAGCAATTTTAAAATTCAGTAATTATAAATATCTGGCAGAATTAAAAGGTGTTGAGGTTCATAAATGTGACGTCAGGTGTTCTAACTCTATTGATTGGTTTACATTAGTTATTAAACTACTTCTAGAACCAACAGAAAACTATGAGTCACAGTAATCATGTGAGTCCAAAGCAGAAGTGAAACAGCAAATTGTCTGCACAACATGATAGCCATACTAAGCAACACAATTCAATGGTGTGTGCATATGCAGGATAAAATACTTTACACAAGATGATTTTATAATCAGATGTTTATCTCTGTAATCTTAGAAGGAATTGGTCATTTGGTTCATGCACACACCACATGATGGCAGTAGAGCTTGAATAATGATTCTCAGAACCTTGTGACCTAAACCTCACTGAAGTGTGAAATCTGTAAGTTATAGCTCTTTGCTCTGTTGACTCTATATTTTTGTGAACACTTGTTTGAGCATTGCTGTTTTTTTCTGTTTCCTGTGCTTTTTTAAATATAGGCTGACCAGAAGAGTCTGGGTTTCCTCTTTGTACCATGGTTCCTTCCTTGCTCTCAGGGTGTCAGGGATTTTTTGCTTTCTGCTCAATTTGTGCTTGCATCATAGCTGTAGGCCTATAACCAATGCAAAAATGTCAACTGAACTACAGCAGTCATGTATACTAACGTGACCGTCATACAGGCTAATTATACAGTACATTGTATAATTGTATGCATATAGCTTACCATTGTCTCCACAGCATCCACAATATGCCTGCTTGAGGTCCAATCAATGTGTTATTTATTTGTATGTTTATTTAGTGGTTTTATGGAAATGTAATTGAAATGTTGTCAGTATTTTATGCGTTCATATTTAATTTTAGTCTGTTTTACACTGCATTGAAATGACAGCATTGTATTGTACTAAGGACAAAACTGCTTTGTTTACATTTTTATCGTTTTCTTACCGTGATTGGTATTTTTCTTTGTGGTTGTTGAACATTTTCACGAATAATTACGTCCAAAGTGACATTTGAAACTTGAAGATTATTTGTCCATCAGGGCCTGTATCTCAGAAAAATCTTAAAGGCACACTATGTAATTTTTCGCCGCTAGAGGGCGCGCATTCAAAATAAACAAAGAGGCAAAGGCGTAGTTAGATGATGCTGTGACTGAGTGTGGAATCATGGGAGTTGTCGTCTTCATCCCCACAGCCGATGCAATCCGACGGGACTCGGGCAGAAATCATGTTCATGGATGAGCTAATGTATTAAAGATTTATTAACGTCATAGTATGAAGCAGAGTGATAATGTAAGTACACAAGTCAGCAAAATATATAACACTGTTCTAGTGGTTTTTGGTTATTTTAATAAAAAAATCTTACATATTGTGCCTTTAACCTAGAATCCAAACTTATCTGTATAGGATTTCACTTTGGTAATTTCACTTTGGAAATCTTAAATCAAGAATCAAGATAGGATGTAATACAGCACAATTCTTTACTTTTCACTTGTACTTACTGTTGTACCACTTATAATGTACGGTATTATGTACAGCAATGGTTTTGCTTGTTAATGTCATAGTAATTATTTAAATATCAATTTTGCTATTGATGTTTGCAACTGATAGCATGCATATCAAGCTGATTAAATGCAACAGTGAGAAATCACATGAAGCAACTACTGACTATAATTAAAACATGCAAAGAAACACTGTAATTCAAATATAATTATCTCTAGTGCAGTCAGATGACAGTGATCAGAATATTTACTCAGGTCCATACACTGGTTTTAGAGCACAGAGATATTGTTGTTCAATATCTGATTGAGTTTCTTTTCTGACCAGTGTATATTTCTAAGAATGCATTCTGTTATTGACAAAAAAACCTGCTCATTGTTTATCTGAAGTGATACAAGGAAATAACAGAGCCATATTAAAATTCTGACTTTTATCGATTTAAATCCTCAAGTATTCAGCCTGTCTAAAGCTTCAAGCTTCTTTCAAGATAAACAAATGTGTCCTGGAAAGTTTTCTTGTTGTGTACAGCCATGATCCACAAAGATTTAACTTTTTACATCTGAAAGGTACTGGATGTCGAAACCTAACAACACTGCAGGAATGCCAGTTTATGCCAAAACAAACCATAGGAATGGCTGCACTAAATTTAATCTCCCAAAATAATAAAAAAAAAAAAGTTAAAAAAACACACACAATACACTTGCTTGAATTTATTTGCACACTGATATAGAGTATTGAAGCTTAATGTTGTTGGTGCATTTTCAAAAAAGTTTGCCTAATTCAAATTGATTTTTTATGTTTTATCACTGTTTTAAGGTTACTGATTTTGTACACTGTATGTATGACTTTAAACTGCTTAGGCTAAGACATAACTCTTGTTTAAAAGTGTTTTCATTGTATGCTCAATTTGTTTATGCATCTAACTGAATTACATCCTTCCGCCTGAAGTTCTACCTGCAGTATCTGCTATATGAGAAAGAGTGCTTATGCTCAGCACAGTAAACAATGACACGCTGTGCAAACACTGAGGCTTCTCAAATGAATTCTATGGTCAGAATGTAATTTTTATAATTAAATTAGGATATTAAATCACTTTAGGAAAAAGGATAAGCAATAGAATAAAACCCCTTGGACTTGATGGCAGGAGAGTTCATGACCTATCATGAACGGCGAGAATGTTTTTTTTTTTAAATGTTGGAATAGTTTTAATTACTTAATTGTTAGTTAATCTGATATGCAGAAAATGGCACATAGTGAATCCGGGACTTTGACATATTGGAAAGGATCAGTTAATTAGGCAGATCACAGAGTGTTTACAACTTTCCATCATGTGCAGCTGCTTCTGTAAAGACTAGGTTTTGAGTATGGTTTATTGTTCCCAATGTGTGTGGAGATGACAAGGAAACCAAACTTTTTTACACTCATATATAAAGATTTGCTGGTCGGCTTCAGAACAAACTACAATTATAATTTTGCTTTTACTTTCATTTAGCTTAAGTGAAATGACAGTTGTTGTATATAAGGTAATGCAGATTTAATATGAATTACAAATTCTATATGCCGAAATCTATGGCACAAGTGTAAAAGTGAAATGTACATTAATGATGTATTTCTAACTGATCTGACACTAAAATGTGTTTCTGTTGGAGTAATCTATTTTTAGTCAGGTTGAGGTAGTCATATTAAATAATATTTTTCCATAAAACCAGTTTAGATGTTACAAAACGTGGGTATACTATATACAATATTGTCATGCTACTCATCTTAGGAAGTACTAAATTCACCTTTTTTTTGTTTTGTTATTAATTCATCAGCTGATTTCCTAATCATCTGAAAAATTCTTGCATCAGTGCTTATTAGAAAAATGAACTTAGCAACTTAATCCTTTAGGTTGCAGCATTGGTCTCATAAAAAAAATTATGAATAAATACATACAAACATACATACATAAATATACATCCTTTTTCTTAAATGTCCTCTGGCTCTCTGCCCTTTTGTACGTTTGTTTGCATTAAATTACTCCAAATTAGATACTTGTAATTCACTTACCATTAGCAAGTAACCACAACACACAATTATGTAATCAAACATCCTGCAAACAGGGAAATTTCCATTCCATTTCCCCATTATATTTACAAATGCAAATATAATGTACAGTACGTCTATTAAACATGATTAGTTAAATCTGTGATTGGTGACACTGAACAAACAAATTGGTTGCAAAACAAGGTTGCTTGAACAGACAGACAAACTCTCACTATGAGAGGGATGTGCATGTCTGTAGATTATTCACAGGCATCATTTCATCCTGTTTCCAGGGCCTTTTAAACTGTATTATGTCTGAAGAAAACATCAGCTGGTTTTGGTTAGCTGACCTGTGACTCAAATTAACTGATCCTGTTAACTTAGTATGAGAATCTCCACAGCAGCTGCAGTGTTTCAGGGCCTTTGATTGAATTAGCATTCATGTTTGTCATGTGTTTGGAGATCTTTCTTGGCTTTCTTGCCCGTTGCTGTAACTGTCCATTTCTTTTATAAAGGAACAAA